CTGTTTTTGGATACTCAACTCTTGTACTTGATTAATCAGTTTTTGAAACAATGTGTTCTTCCAGAGCTTGAATTGCGTTTCTTGCTATGTTTATGTTTGCACGAGCCTCAAGCATTAAGTTCATTTGAGAACTATGCTAAGTGATGTGACCTAGCTCGACTTTTAAGAGAATCCATAGCTCGACGCCTAGAATAATTATATAACTCGACGCCTAAGATGTATTAAACAGCTCAACGTCTAAACCAAATAAATAACTCGACGCCTAAGATGTATTAAACAGCTCGATGCCTAGACCAAATAAATAACTCGACGCCTAAGATGTATTAAACAGCTCGACGCCTAAGTGAAGTTGTAGCCTTGACGTACTTATTCACCGACAACAAAGATTTATTTCTGTCATGCTCGATAAATAACTCTTAAGGACTGAATTTTATAAAATCATTTTTTAAATTATGCGTTAAGCTCGAGCATGTAGACAAATTGTCTCGAGGACTTTAATTTGTAAAATCATTTTTGAACACTGCGTGTTAAGCTAGAGCATGTACATGAGTATCCCGAGGACTCAATTTGTAAAATCATTTTTGAACATTATGCGTTGAGCTCGAGCATGTACACAAGTTATCTCGAGGACTCAATTTGTAAAATTATTTTTGAACACTATGCGTTGAGCATATTATGCATGTTTATCTCGAGGACTCCATGATAACATAATTATATCGACCTATAGCGTGATTCCCGAGGACAGTGATGGTCTTTTATAAGATCTCTCACATCATTGATTGGGCACTGTGTGATTGGGAATGTTACTTGATGTGCTTGCTCAGGGCAAGACTTTTTGATTGCTTGCACGAGGCAATGCTTTTTAATTGCTTGCACGAGGCAAGTCTTGAGTTGCTTGCGTAGGGCAAGGTTTTTTGTAGCTAGATCATATTTTGACGAATATCTTAATTCTTATTATACATTAAAAATAGATTTGGCACGCAGGCCTGACGACTAAAAACGTTAACCTTGGCACGCAAGCCTGACTACCGAAAAAATAAAACTTGGCATGCAGGCCTGAGAATTGAAAACGTGAACCTTGACGTGCAGGCCCGACTACTGATAACTGGAAGACTAGGTTACTTGTAATATATTTTTAAATTCTCGATGTTCCATGGTCTTGGAAGTGGTCTTCCTGATGTATCCCTTAAATTGTATGCACCTCTTTAGAGTTGTCGTATGATTTCAAAGAGTCCTTCCCAAACTCGTCCTAGCTTGCCCGGGGCATAACCTGCTGCTTCGGCCCTTCTTAACACAAGGTCTCCAGCTCTGAATCTCCGCGTCCTCACCTTTTTATTGAAGTACATTGCTGTTTTATCTTGGTAGGAGGTCATTCTTAAAGTTGCCTGATCACGAACTTCTTCCAAGAGGTCGAGATGTTCAGTGATTGCCCTGCATCTTCGGGCTCGAGTCTCCTTTGGCTGGGTAACCTGACTTCAACAGGGATGGTGGCCTCAATACCAAAAGCCAACATGAAGGGGGTTTCCCCCGTAGCAGTTCTATGGGACGTTCTATACGTCCAAAGTATGGAAGGTAACTCGTCAGACCAGGAACCTCTTGCATACCAGATCCTTGTATGGAGGTCTTGCAATACAATCCGATTGGTCACTTCGACGAGACCATTACTTTGAGGATGGGAAACTGACGTCAAACGGTGATCAACCCCTAGGTTGGAACAAAAGTTTTTAAATTGTGCATTGTCGAACTGCCTGCCATTATCAGTTATGAGGACTTTCGGTACTCCGAACCTACATATGATAGATCTCCAAATGAAACTTCTTAACTTCGGCTCTGAAATTGTTGCTAAAGGCTCAGCCTCCACCCACTTAATGAAATACTCTACAGCCACAAACTTCAATTGTCCCCTACTTATTGGAAAGGGACCAAGGATGTCAATTTCCCACAGCTCAAATGGGGCTGTGCAACTAATGTTAGTGAGGTCCTTTGCGGGAGGGTGGATGACATTGCCAAATCTTTGGCACTTGTCACACTTCTTGACATATTCCTGTGCGTCTTTCTTCATGGTTGGCCAATAATATCCATACCTTATGAGCTTGAAGGCTAATGCCCGAGCTCCTTGATGGTTCCCACATACTCTTTCATGAACTTCTTCTAGGGCTTGGGATGATTCGGAAGGCCTAAGGCATCTGAGGTATGGAAGTGTGAGGCTCCTGCTAAATAAAACTTCTTCAATCATTCAATACATCGGAGCTTTGGACTGGATGCTCCTCACTGCTCGAGGATCTTCTGGAAGACTACCATGTTTTATGAAGTCTACTATTGGGTCCATCCACGACGGCTCATTATCAATATCCATGACACCTATGGTCTGACTGGTGCTTGGCTCGGTTACAATTTTGACGTGAACTGTCCTGTCAAGCCATCTATTCCCATGAACACCAATCTTGACAAGGCATCGGCCTTACAATTCTCAGCCCGAGAAATTTTCACAATTTCACAACTCTTGAACTTTCTCTGGAGATCATGCACTTTCAAGTAGTATAAGCTCATCTTCTCGTACTTCCTATCGAACGTCCCTTCGATTTGTCCAACTACCAACTGGGAATCACTGTAAATTTTGATATTTTCAAGCTCGAGATTTATGGCGAGTTTCATGGCTATGATGACGGCCTCATACTCTGCCTCATTATTGCTTGCCTCAAATTCGAACCTGGGTGCGCACTGAATGTTTATAAGCATGTCCGGGCTTGTAATTATGACTCCTGCGCCCGAGCCTGAGGAGTTTGATGCTCCATGTACGAAAATTTGCCACACACATATGGTCGGGTCGAGCTACCATCTAGCCCCCGAGGCCTTGAGGTGAGTTCTGCAATGAAGTCAGCTAACGCCAGAGCTTTGATAGATGGACGGGGCTTGAACTCTATGTCAAATTCTCCGAGTTCAATTGTCCACCTCAGTAATCTTCCTAAGACGTCTAGTTTCTGAAGAATGTGTTTTAGAGGCTGATTGGTGAGCACTACAATAGGATGCGACTGAAAATATTGCCGAAGTTTTCGTGCTGCCACTATTAATACAAAGGCAAGCTGTTCTGTCAAAGTGTATCTTGTTTCTGCATCAAGTAGAACTCTACTTACATAATAAATGGGTTGCTGGGCCCTGTTAACCTCTTTCACTAAGACACCACTCACTGCATTCTGGGATACGCCTAAGCATAAATACAAAGTATCCCCGAGCTCGGGTTTGGTGAGGATAGGAGGAGATTTCAAAGTCTGCTTGAGCTCTTGAAAAGCCTTCTCGCACTCCTCATTCCATTCAAAGTAATGATTCCCCATGAGGGCTTTGAAGAAGGGGAAGCACCTGTCAGCTGCTCGGGACATGAACCTGTTTAAAGCAGTTACCCTGCCTGTCAACTTTTGAACCTCCTTCTCGGTCCTTGGTGATTCCATTGCTGCAAGAGCCTGAATCTTATCGGGGTTGGCCTCAATCCCCCGATGAGTGATCATGAAACCCAGAAACTTTCCTGAAGCTACGCTGAATACACACTTCTCTGGGTTGAGCTTCATCTTATATTTTCGTAGGGTGAAGAACACCTCCTCCAGGTCGGATATGTGTTCCTCTACCTTCTTACTCTTTACAGCCATGTCGTCCACATAGGCCTCAATGTTCTTCCCTATCAAATCGGCGAAGACTTTGTTGATGAGCCTCTGATATGTTGCCCCAACATTTTTCAACCCAAATGGCATCACTCTATAGCAATATATGGCTGAATCAGCCATGAATGAAGTCTTCCCCTGATCTTCTGACTTAGACCCCATTCCAGTAAATTTGGCCAATGTCTCTGAGGTGAGGGTGGGTTCTGCTGGACTGGTTGCTACTCCCTTTTCTTTTGGATCCAACTCCATACTTTCCAACCTTTTTCAGATGAATTCGAATTGTTCCATCATGGACGCCAGGTCCTTTTGAATCTCTGCTCTCATGATTCCCAGTTCTTGTAACTCACCTTTGATTCCATCCATTCGGGTTTCCAAAACACTCATTCGTTCAGCAATCGTCATTCTCTCAAGATCTCTGCTCTAATACCAAATTGGTAGGATCCTTATGTAGTAAAATAGTTTCAATACTGAATATACTTTTATTGAATTACTGGAAAAGAAAGAAGGGGGAAGAAATCCAAGGCTTTCGAGAGGCCTAGTCTCTCCCCCACGACTTACAACCAAGAAAACGTTAGTGAATGAAATAACACCCTTCCCATTACATTTATAGCCATCTCCCTCTCCCTGACTCAGTTTCCTAATCTACCCTTCTTAACCAACTGATCAGGTGCCCCATCTAGTTTGTTGCTAACCGCCTTTTCCCCTTTCTTCCTCCTCACGTATGTGAAATTAACCGGGGGCCTATCAGGTGTATGACGTGGTTATTATTTGTACAACTAACTCTTCCTCAACCTTGGATGAAAGAATTTAATTGATCCCTTCCATTTATAAGAATTACTATATTCTGTGTACATGCCATGACATTGCAACATATCAAGTTAGCAATCAATTGAAACATCATCATGCTGGAGGAACAGAAAAGCAATAAAATATGCAAAAAGATAAAATGAGGGAGAAGGCTAACATCTTAGATCCATAGCAGTCAATACCAGAACTCAAATCTCAAAGCAGATAACTACCTCAGTGAGGAGAATATGTTCTTCTGAATTCATCTAGTAATTAGAAAATATTACCTTTTCTTGAGGAAATACTAGAATCCACTTCAGAATCTGCTATGAATCTTCGAGTTCAAGCATTCGTGATCCAATGAAGAGAGGCTTGAGAAATGTACAGAGGAGAAGCAGCAGATGAATAGATGATGATGACGATGATGGAATGGATGGAAAGGTAAAATGGGAAGAGGCAAAATAGCCTTCGAGCTTAATTTAGTTTCAGTTGATGAGAACTAGAAAATAGAAAAATATTATGGAAGACACTAAGCAAATACCAGCACGATGTAGAACAAACCTTTTAGAGGCCTCTAACTTCTGTCTCAGGTCACCAATCTCAGCTTCTGCTGCCGCTAACCTTTTCTGGGATTTTGCTTTAGCTTCAATTGAGGCTTTAAGTCGTGACTCCAAATTCTGTCCCTCAAGAGAAGTAATCAGGCTCCGAACATAAGCCCATGCCTTAATTTCCCCATTTCTAGCTTCATACACTTCCCTGCAATCAATATACCCAGGTTATAAATTGGAAACCATGCTGGATGCTATATCAAACCAGTATACGCACACTAAAGCAACTACTATTATGACATCTATATCAATGGGGGGAAAACAACATTAAATACTCGTCTTTATTCATCAAGAATCTGAAATGAATGAAATATGCAATAACGTCGGCGTCAATTCCATTTACAGTACAAGTGCCAAAAACAAGGATAAACATTGTTAAGCATTGGAGAATCTCAAGAACACTCAAAGAAATACATAGGAGAGTACAATGACCATTCTATTATATTAATATTGAATTTGTCCAAACTTAACATTGTCCAGAATTACAGGCTAGGTGCATTGGACAAACTATATAGGTATAAACAGGATGAACAAAACAGGACCAAGAACTTTTCTTATGATTCTTGATGATTGAATATCACTATTTACATCCTTTTATAATACATAATGGAGCCAAAAAAGGAAAAAAACAGTCTCATAATATTAGAGAGTAATTTCAACCTATAAAACTATCGATTACACTATTAATGGAAAGATTTTGATATCTTTCCATTATAAACGATTTCCTACACTCCCCTTCAAGTTGGATTGTAAATATTAATCATATACAACTTGCTGATGAAATCGTTAAAATCTCGTTGAGACAACCTGTAATGACCCAAATTTTTTCCTTTGGAATCATTATACATCTACCGTAAAATAATACTTTCATAAATAATGAAAGAAAAACATAATATCTTTTGAATGTGAAAGGTTTAAAACAAATTTTAAAGAAAATACAATAAACTTCATTAAAAATCTTTAACTACTTAAATCATTATTCATTTTCAACCACGCAAGCACAATCCACCTCCGATCGCCTCAAACCCGCCTCTTTTAATTACCTATAAAATATTTAACTTATACATGTGAGACATAAATATCAATAAATGAGTAATAACGAATTTCCATCTCATATTTAATTACGGAAAATTATAACATACATATGGAGACACGAGAATTAAAATTCGAATTTCGTGTCTATAATTCCCGTGCGTAGGGCTACTAAACTCCGGTTCTTTGAACTTACACATATAGGACCCTTATCATAATCATGGCTAAAATTTTCGTATCATCATATTTATAACATAAATTTCCATAATTTAAATAATGAAAGAACAATTCGTACTACTACACTCATCTTTCACTTGACAATTCAAAAATGATAGAAGAAGTGATTGTTGGAGGGAGATCCTTGAGTCGCGTGCCCAGTTGTGTGATTGTGTAAGTTTGAATAAATTTAATATGAAAAAGACAAGAGAAATAGTAAAGGTGCAGAGACAAAGTGATAGAGATAAATAGGAAGAGTGTAAAATAATTGGTGAGGGATAGTCCAATATTGAGTTTAACTCCTATTTATAGTGCAAGTTCTTGAACCATGTATAGAAAATTGAAAGAAAATGGCTAGATGTTAGGCATGGTCAAAGCATAATTGGTGCATGTCTTGAAAGTTGTCAAATCAATTCCTTTAATCATGTGATCAAATTAATTGACTTGGCTTGAATCTTGGTATAAATAATGCGTGTGGTCTAATCAATTATCTTAATTTATGTAGTCAAAGCAATTACTTAGCTTAAAATGTGGTGAATTAATGCATGTGATCAAATAACGCATCTCTAATCATGGCTAATTGACATATTTACAAATAATTTCATTTAACTTCCAATTTAACTCTTTACTTAGGTCCTCAAACTATTGACTAGTAATTAATAAGGTCATTTAACTAAGTCAATAACCAATAAGGTCATTAGACTTTAATGCTGGCACACTTAAGTCTTAATTTTTAATCTAATGACTAGTAATAAAAAATTCAAGATATTACACAACCCTTTAGTAAGGATATCTGCCCTCTGTTCCCTTGTAGGGACATACACCATACAAATGACTCCTTCAACCTTTTCTTTGATGAAGTATCTATCAATTTCCACGTGCTTTGTTCTATCATGCTGAATTAGGTTGAGTGAAATACTGATGGCTGTTTTATTATCACAATAGAGTTTTATTGGTAATTTCATTCCAACCTTCAATTCCTCCAAAAGTTTCTTTAACCATAGTCCTTCACATATCCCTTGTGCAGCTGCTTTGAATTCTGCTTCGGCACTGCTTCTTGCCACTACATTCTATTTTTTATTTCTCCAGGTTACTAGATTTCCCCATACAGAGGCACAATAACCTGACGTTGATCTCCGATCTTCTATTGATCCGGCCCAATCAACATCTGCAAATATTTCTACTTTCCTTTTTTCACACTTCTTGAAGAATAATCCCTTTCCAACGGAGCCTTTTAGATACCTGAGAATTTTGTGTACTGCTTCTAGGTGAGCTTCCTTCAGTGAGTGCATGTGTTAACTTACAACACTGACCGCAAAGGCAATGTCTGGTCTAGTAGTATATGACAGGTAGATCAATTTACCAACCAGTCGTTGGTATCCATCCTTTTCAATTGGTCTCCCTGTTTCATTTGTCATCTTTCCACATTCTATAGGTGTGTTACTCGGCCTACAACCAAGCATGTCAGTTTGAGTCAGCAGGTCAAGGATGCATTTACGTTGTGATACACTGATACCTCTTTTTTATCTTGCTACTTCCATACCCAAGAAGTACCGCATCAATCGTAGGTCTTTCATTTCAAATTTAGTAGCCAGGCTTTTCTTTAATCTGTCCATCTCATCTATATTGTTGCCAGTGAGGATTATATTATCCACATACACAATTAGAATTGTTATTTTCCCTTCTTCAGATTGTCGGAAGAACATGGTATGATCTGACTTCCCTTGCTGATAACCTTGATTCCTCAACACTTTTGCAAATCTATCAAACCAAGCTCTTGGTGATTGTTTAAGGCCATATAATGATTTCTTGAGTTTGCATACCCAATCTTTTCCAACCTCATTGCTGAATCCTGGAGGTACTGTCATGAAAACTTCCTCTTCCAATTTTATATTTAAGAAAGCATTCTTAATATCCAGTTGCTGGAGAGGCCAATCCAAATTGGCTGCTAGAGATAAGAGAACCCGAACAGTGTTCAGTTTTGCTACTGGTGCAAATGTCTCCATATAATCAATACCATATGTCTGTGTGTATCTTTTGGCTACCAGTTGAGCTTTATAGCGTTCTATCGTCCCATCAGCTTTATACTTCACATTGAAGACCCATTTACAACCAACTGATTTCTTACCCTTTAGTAACTACATCATATCCCAAGTTTCATTTTTTTCTAAGGCATACATTTCTTCCATTAGTGCTTCTCTCCACTTGGGAACTTCCAAGGCCTCCTGAATATTCCTAGGAATTTTTGTATTTTCAAGATTAGCAGTAAAAGTACGAAATTTTGTAGATAAAGTTTTATAAGACAAATTTAGAGATAGGGTGGAGAGTACATGACTGAGTTTGTTTTATGAGAGCAATAGGTAAATCGTCATTTGGAGATCCAGATTTATCAGGTAGGTTTTCATTAGGCCCCATCATCGTTTCGGACTCTTTTGGTGCTTCGAACTCTTTTGGTGCTTGAGGTGCGAGGTTTCCTTTGTACTTTGGATTTGGCCTCCTTGAGTAAACTAGCATCTCCTTGTCATTCTGTCTGTCTACATCTCCCCCTGTATTGAAGTTCCCTTCGATAGATGGTATATTTGACTTGACCTGTTCAGTATAGGTTGGTTCAAGAGGGGAGAGATCAAAGTTGAAGAACTCTTCAAAATGCCACTCTTCACTCAGATTCTCCCCCTGAATAGAGGGGTTTTGAAATAGGGTATTTTTTCAATGAAGGTGACATCTAGACTAGCAAAGACTCTATATGTTGATGGATCATAGCATTTATATCCCTTTTGAGTGGATGAGTATCCAATGAATACACATTTAAGTGCACGGGATTCTAGTTTATTTCGATGATGAGAGTGAATATGAGTGAAGGTCATGCATCCAAACACTTTCAAAGGTAGGTTAGGGTAAAGGCGAGAGGTAGGAAAGTGTGTTTGGAATTTCTGAAGTGGTGAGTCGAAGGATAGGGTACAATTGGGCATTCTATTGATCAGATAGGTTGCTGTTAGAATGGCATCACCCCAAAATAGTTTTGGCACATTTGTAGTAAATAGTAAGGCACGGGCAACTTCGAGAATGTGTTTATTTTTTTGTTCTGGAATCCCATTTTGTTAAGGAGTATTGACACAAGAAGTTTGGTGGACTATCCCATGTTTTTGTAAATAGTCTCGTAATGTAGTATCGAAATATTCCGTGTCATTATCTATGAGGAGAATTTGGATTTAAGTCTAAAATTGTGTTTGAATCATTGAATGAAAATTGATAAACGCGAAGCGGACTTCAGATTTATCTTTTAGTAGGTAGACCCAACATGCTCGAGTATGATCATCTATAAATGTGATAAACCATCTTGTGTGTGTTCGATTAGCGGTTCGAGATGGTCCCCATAAGTCACTGTGGATCATAGTAAAGGGCTTAGATGGTTTGTATATAGAGGTTGGATAGAAGTGCGGTGATGTTTCACAAGTTCACAATGTTCACACTGAAAATCAATTGGAATTTTATTCGAGAAAATTGAAGGGATGACACGTTTCAAAAATTGAAAATTCAGGTGGCCTAGTCTATAATGCCATAACAGAATTTCATTATCCCTAGAAAGAGATGTAGACTCACAAGTTGAAATTTGACGTTGTTTACTCACATCAGCCTCCTCAAAGTAGTACAGACCCCCCCACTCTTTAGCACTGTCAATTGTCTTCCTCGATAAAAAGTCCTGAAAAATGCAGTGAGATGAAAGGAATTTAGCGAAACAATTAGTGTCTCTAGTTAGCTTGCTAATTGACAATAGATTACAAGAAAAATTTGGAACATGTAAGACAGATTCGAGTGTTATAGAGTTAGAGAGTTTTATAATCCCTTTTCCTGCAACAGATGAGAGGGAGCCATCTGCGATTTCGACTTCAACATTACCAGCACAAGTTGAATAAGACGAAAAGAGATGATATGTACCGTCATATGATCGGATGCTCCTGAGTCGATGATCCAAGGGGTTATAGATTTTGACGTGGTACATAAGAGACTCAAGAAATTCCCGTTATGAAATAAGGAGTTTGAATGACCATTAGAAAGGGATTGACCGGAAGTTTGAAACTTGGAAAAAATTCGGTAGAGCTGTTCCAATTCTTCGGGATTGAATGCATCAATTTGAGCAGGATTGGTATTAGCCTCAGCTTGATATTCCCAAATTCTAATGCCTTGTCTTGACTTCTAATCAATTTGTCTTTTAATTGACATACCCATAACTTCAGGCCCAATTTTTTCAAGCCCAATACCTTGGTTTAATTAACCCAACACAACAAATGGCCCAACACTACAAGTGAAGCCCAAAATCGAGACAACAATCAACCCAAAAGTGGCAAAACCCGATACCGTGATACTATGATCCAATTTTCACACCAACCCTTTGAAATCCGACAAAAGAGGCAAAATCGCCTCCCAGAAAGATGACGAGGTAAAATCGGGCCTCCCAGAACAACAACGCAACCTTCACTCACGTCGGAAAGTTGACTCCCACTTCTGACACCACAAAGGAGAATCGGATGAAACCAGAACACTCCGAGATTGTGCTGAAACACGACCACCTGCGTTCGACTTGAACAAAAGATCCACTATGGACACCGAGTTCTAAAGGCACCGGAAACACACGAAGATGTCGGAAACACGAGAAACTCGCGAGAACAACCACTGGTTCGAGAAAAGGTAATTTAGGCTCTGATACCATGAACAAAACGGGACCAAGAACTATTCTTTTATTTCTTGATGATTGAATATCACTATTTACATCCTTTTATAATACATAATGGAGCCAAAAAAGGAAAAAAAGGGTCTCATAATATTAGAGAGTAATTTCAGCCTATAAAACTATCAATTACACTATTAATGGAAAGATTTTGATATCTTTCCATTATAGACGATTTCCTACACAGGAATAGTTTTTATATTGAGTAAATCAAATTATTTTAATTTTAATTTTTTCTAAACAAATTAACAAATTAATGATTTCTAAATCCAAATTTTTGGCCCAATAATTTGTTTCATTTCTAATTTTTTAATTTTTGGCCCAATTACCCATTTTATTGTTTCATTTCTTAGTCAAACAAATCAAATCCACTAAATAACCCTAAGCACCTACAATAAAGTGCATAACGTTGTCTCGACTCTCGCACTCACTCTCGCAGCCTATCTAATATTCCAAAATCTATACAATCGTCGGCCGACACTCTGACCTCCGATCGAAGTCGTGACTTTCCCCGACCGAAACTTTGATCGTAGCGATCATTTGAATAAGATAGTTTACTAATCTCTGACATTCCAAAACTATTGAATGTATCATTAGTCGTATTTATATAACGTTGTTATAAATGTTAAAAAATTTAATTATAGTACAGAACCGAACGGAACCGAACCGATCCGAACCGAACCGAACCGAATGGAACCGAACCCAAACGGTTCCATAATTATATTTGGACCCGACGGTTCCATTTACTAGATACCCGAAAAGTTTGGTTCGGTTCGGTTCTAAAGAGAACCGAACCGAATCGACCCGCGCCCACCCCTACACAGGAATAGATCAAAAGGCAAACATCAGCAGTATAAACACGTTAGCACTGATAAAAGCAATAAATACCTGAGAATGATAAGACCATGGGACTCAAGTTTATAATATGTTCAGAGATACAACCACATTTTTCAAGAGCAAACAAAATTATGAAGAAGTCATTTGGATCCAACATAAGTGACATTGAATGAAATCTAAAGCAGAAATCCCCAAGAAACACTAACCTTGAATACGTTGATTCATGTCTGTACATTTCCCTATAAAGCTTCAAGTCTGAAATGGTTTCCTTTAAACCACGGACCTGTACCAAGAAAATTGAAATTAAAAAAGCTGAAGAAAGTCTCTACTATATTTGAAACCAACCCAAGATATTAACGATCTTTGTTCAGAAAGCAGGACTATGCAATACAGATAGTGATAGCTACAGTTCTTGTCTAGTGAGTTTAACTCATCCATAAAATGTTAAAAGAGAATACGTAAGTTCAGTCATTAAACTTTTCCTGATCTTACAATATTGTCAGATTGTACATAAAGCTGTTTCACCTGTTAGCACTATCTTGCGTAGGTATTAGTGGAAAGTTATAACAGGTATGCCAATTAGGAAGCTCCGTTGCATTGTTAAAAATAATTCGACGTGAATTTCCTCCATAATTGTTATACTGGTACGGCTAATCGAGTGAAGGCTTGTAGCCTCATAGACACTTTCTTTCATTCATTCATCAGGCACATGGTGGTTTGTTTCGGAGCCAGGATAAACGAGTAGTGGGGATAGGAAAAAGATCATTCCCTTTGCACCTCATGTCAAGAGAAGAATAGTATATCAGATGGACGACAACGTAGTAACAGACATATTTCTTCACACTTATGTAATGAAGGGGAAAACTCGTACCACAGCTTGCAACTTCTGTATTCCAGCATTTTGTTCAACTGAACTCAATAAAGAAGCTTCCAATTCCATAGCCTGCAGATATTAACAGAAGGTTTTGACCAGCATAAGCAGCAATTTGAAAACAAAAGAAAACTGCAAGTAAAAGAAATCCCACCTTACGATCAAGAATGTTGGCAAGAGACTTTACATCAGCTCACAGACTATGAACATCTGAAGCATCCTCCTTGAATCTACTAAACTGATTTTGCACGCTACACATTTCCTCAGGAAACGAATAAATTATACCTTCGAACTCCACAATGATTTCTAACCTATCTGAAATCAAAAGGACATGAAACTTACTGACAGTACCAATAAGGACATGTCACATGAGGGAATCATCAAAATCTTCATACCAGGTTCTTTAGGCACTTCTTCCCTCTTTTTTTCGATCCATTTTTTTTCTTTGATGCACTTTTCTATATCTGCCTCTAGGTCCTTAATTCTAGAATCGGCAACAGCTGAAGCTTGATGAAAAAATCAACTAATTCTTTTCTAATAAGAGTATCTTTTTCCCTTCAGGCAAGATTGCCTTTTTCGACCTGAATTTAGATAGATGAGTGAGCAATATAACTAAATTTTCTTCACAAAAAAAAAATGGCATTAAAAATAAAATGACCAACCAGTTACAACCTGTAGTTTCGCATAAAGAGAATGATATTGAACTACATCGGCCTTAGACTTAGCAAGTTGATCTTTCAGCATGAGATATGGTCGGCACAAACATATACGCTTCACATTCTTTAGATTGTGATATCAAAAAAATCCAATTTCAAAAGATGAGTAGGAACAAATACAGAAGGGGAAAGTATTGCATAACCACCAAAGAGACATTTCGAAGCACAAAACAGAGAAAACAAGAACGAAAGAACTAATTTGCAACACTAATAATTGCCTTAATATGTCTATCTGATAATCATGAAGACGCTTGAGTTCTTGTAATCGAGCAGAGGAGTCGTCCTGCACAGATAACTTAGTCCATTATCTAAGCTACAGTGCAATCAACTATAGACTCCATAAAACATAATGCAAGTGATTACCAATAACTCCTTCATTGTGGACTCCATGCCTTGCAAATCTTTTTGTTTATCTCTAGCTTTATCAGTGGTGACCGGAAATACAACCGATTTGGGACAGGCAAAAATTCCTCCTTTCCCACAGCTCTTTCGGATTTTAAAATTGCCTACTTGCAGTTACTTTCTTCGAATCCAGCAGCAGTAGTCTCCAAATCTCCTGTAATATTGACAACCAAATGTTGGAATAATTAATTATTCCACAAGTGGGCTTCACTATTCTACGTGTTAGATGTATGGCACATAATTATATTTGTGTTTTGGTCAAATTTATTAAGTGATCAACTCGATCTTTTACACTTTACGAATTGTAATTAATTTTACGTGGTAGTTTAAAGTATGTGGGCCAGAAATAAACCATAATTAGAATTCTAGTCGTAATGGGACGAATCAAATTATTTCCTATATATATAGGCTAGGTCCCCTCTTTTCTCCATATGTTTTCATTAGCTTGCCCCATTGATAGCTAATACTTTGTGAGGAGAAAGGAGGAAAAGATCTTGACTGCTATTACAACTACTATTCATATCAATAATGGTTTCCGCAAATATGAATTCGATTTATCAATTTATTATTTGGTGATTCTTGATTCTTAGCATGATTAAATTATAATTCAACAATTGGTATCAGAACTTCTACGCTAAGATCAAAATCCTTCATAAAAAACTTTTTTTTTTTTTCTTCTCTCGATTTTTGGCTGAATAATTCCAGAATTTTTTCAAACTACCAATTTAAAAATAAATATAAAGTCGCTAATTTTGGCTTCCGCAGCCGCTAGTGGATTTAAAATTCTTAAATTTTTGAGATTTTGGATTGTTATTAAGCTTCCAATTTGGTTACGCAGCCACCAATTTGAGCTTTGGAATTATTATGTTTTGAATCATGATTTCCAGCAGCAATTTTAATGTTTGGAGTCAATTCATTTTTTGTCTTTCATCCTAGCTTCCGTAGTAGGCAAATCCGCGGCCACACGTAATAAAACATAGATTTTGACTAACTTCCTTTTAGGATTAATTCTTGAATCTGAATCTGGATGTGTATTGGGTTTTTCTGTTCTTTTTTTTTTTTTTTTTTTTAAACAGTGTCGAATCCCAAACGACCTCTGAAATTAAGAATAAGAGAAAAACAAATCGAAAAAGTCAAATTAAAAGTGCCATTTTTATATTTACATATTATGTGCATAAATATTTGTATAAAGCTGCCTATTTAGTGGTCATCTGGGCGACGACGTACTGGCAAAATGTAGCGTCGGTGGCCGAGGCAAAAAGGAAAAGTTTTTCCCTTTAGGATTTTCTGAAAATCGATTTTGAATATATTGGAGACGGGAGCCTCTGTTGCAAATTATGGGTTTAGAGGCCCCTATCTGCAATTAAGAGATTGGGCTTAAACTTGCAAGTTTAAAAGGAGGGTCTGTCATGTAATTTGTATAGTTGAGGGACCTGATTTTAATTTGTGTTTAGTATTAAAATGTAATTTTCAATAGGAGGCTCTTAAATTCGAACTTCTAAACTTTTGACTTTAAAATTTTATTTTTGACCAAATTAAAACTTTAATTGATAATTGACCCGATTAAAACATATTAGATAATAATAATAATTTGATTGACGACTTTTATATTTTTCATTAAATTGTATATGTATTTAAATATTGCCATTATTTATGCATTTAAATTTCATTTTTGAAATTTTGTTGGCAATTTCGTCTCTCAATTACATATGAATCTTCATATTTTATCGATTATTTTTTGCATAATTATTGTTTTGTAATTAAATTTTTATGAGTTTTGAGATGATCCTAATTTGTCCCCACAAAGAGAAATATTTTGAAATAAAAATGGATGGTAGCTGCCAAAATGACACACTCATTATTATTTATTCGATTTTCTCTACAATAAAAATATAAGTATTTTGCACAATAATTTGATTTATTGCATATAACATCTTGCCCAAAGGTGTTGTTATATGTGATATTTTTTGGAAAATGACATAAGGCAGTTAACGAGCTTATTTGGTTTAAAAAAAAATTTCCTTCTGCCCAAAGGTGTTGGAATTTCAAAAATCAATGTAATTTTGTTAACTAGCTACATAATGTATTTTAAGAGTATCTTATAACATGTTGTATTGTCGACCCAAAGGTGACCTTATGATGATGCATCTAGGCTCTTACCGTAATAAAAATTTATATGTTTCGATTTAAATTACGGATTATCTAATTAATAACCCATATTAATTAGTTGGATATTTCATCATCCATTTGATTGCATGCATTAAGTTTGAATGATATTAAAAGTGATATTTTATGTTTCCACAGTTTATAATGACTCATCTCTTTCGAATCAATTGTCTGCTATTGAAATTTTGACTGGCAATAACTATGTGAGATGGAAACGAGACGTAGAAATAGCACTTGGTCTTTTGGGCTTGGATTTTGCAATGGAGAAAAAGCTTGAAAAACCCACAGATAAGAGTACCGTTAAATATGTAGCCGAGCATGAAAAATGGGAAAGGGCTAACAAACTCTGTTTGAAAATCATTAAGCGATCGATATCTGATTCCATTCTAGGTGCCATCCCTGATAATGAAAATGCCAAAAGTTTTATGGATGTCATAGGAGAAAAATTTGTTGAGTCTGATAAAGCCGAAACTGGGGATCTGATGGATAAATTGATGAGCATGAGATATGATGGCACAAATGGTGTTAGGGAGCATGTCATGAAAATGATAAATATATCATCTAAGCTAAAGGCTCTTGACATTCCCATTGTGGAGCCTTTCCTAGTCTATCATGTTTTGAATAGCCTTCCTAGTAAGTTTAATCAGCTTAAGGTTGCTTACAATGCTCAGCGGGATAAGTGGAATTTGAATGACCTTATAGCAGTGTGTGCCCAAGAAGAGTATAGGATGCGCCGTGAAACTGTGCAATTAGCTTTTCAGCCATCACAGAATAAGGGGCCTTCTCATAATCATAAACCTAAGTTTCGTAAGGGTAATAAGTCCCATCGAAGTCAGCAGAATAAAAATTTTAGTGGTCCCGAAGGAGTTATAAAGAAAAATGATCAGTGCAAGTTCTGTAAAAAGAATGGTCACTGGCAGAAAGATTGTTTTAAGTTCAAGACTTGGTTGGAAAAGAAGAAGAGTTCTTCAGGTATTCCCTTGACCTTAGTTTGTTTTGAGTCTTCTTTAATAGATGTGCCTTTGAATTCTTGGTGGTTAGACTCGGGAGCTAGTATTCATATTGCGAATTCCTTGCAGGTGTTCATAAGCAAACGGAGGCCAAGTGAGAATGAAGTAAGCTTGAGCGTTGCAAATGGATTTCAAGTGAAGGTTGAATTCATAGGAGTAGTGAAGTTAACTTTAGAGTCTGGTTTTTATCTTGTTTTGGAAAATACAGTTTATGTACTGCAGATGAGACGGAATTTAATTTCTATACCAAAACTTGATGCTTGTGGTTTTACATTTAATTTTGGTAATGGAATAGTTAAGTTATTTTATGATTCTCATTTGATTGGGAATGGCATTTTATGTGATGGTTTATATAAATTGTCTTTGGCTTCTTTTGGTGATATCTCATGTGTTACAAATGTATCAAAGAAAAGAGCTTTAATTTGTGAATCATCCTCTATGTTGTGGCATAAGTGATTGGGTCATATTTCTAAGGATAGAATGGAAAGATTAGTAAAAGATGAGATACTTCCTTCCTTAGACTTCTCCGATTTTGACACCTGTATAGATTGTATAAGAGGAAAGTTAACTAAGTCTACGAGGAAGGGTTCGACTAGGAGTAATGGAATTTTGGACTTAATTCACACTGATATCAGTTGACCTTTGCTTTCCACTATATGTGGGAATAAATGTTTCATAACTTTCATTGATAATTTCTCACGATATGGATATATTTATTTAATTAACGACAAATCACATGCACTTGAGAAATTCAAAATTTTCAAACTGAAAGTAGAGAAACAATGTAGGAAATGTATCAAAGTTGTAAGATCTGATCGAGGTGGTGAGTACTATGGGAAATATGACGAATCTGGTCAAAATATGGGTGATTTTGCAAAATTTTTACAAGAGTGTGGAATAGTGCCCCAATATACCATACCAGGGACACCTGAGCAGAATGGTGTTTCTGAAAGACGTAATCGAACTTTAAAAGATATGGTTAGAAGTATGATGAGTAGAACAAATTTGTCTGAATATTTGTGGGGTAAAGCCTTGAAAACAGCTATGTATATTTTGAACAGAGTTCCAAGTAAAGCTGTTACAAAGACACCTTTTGAATTATGGACAGGACGTAAGCCAAGTATGGCTCACTTTAAAGTTTGGGGATGTCCAGCTGAGGTTAGGATTTATAATCCGTTTGAAAAGAAATTAGACCCTAAATCAACTCCTGGCTACTTTATTGGGTATTCGGATAGATCAAAGGGATATAAGTTTTACTCTCCAAATCGCAGCACTAGAATTATGGAGTCCATTACTGCTAAGTTTCTGGAGAATTTTGGAGATAGTGGGAGTTCCACGTTGAGAGAAATTCTTATTGAACCTAATCAAGTTGTAGTTCCAGTTCCTGTCATACAGGAAAGAGTTGGTTCTCAACCAATTGAAGTTGTTAATGAAGAACCGAGGAATCTCCAATTCCTCAAACAACGATTGAATCGGTTCTTGAGCCGCAAGTTAGGAGATCATAAAGGGAAAGAAGATCTGCATTGCCCAGTGATTATATTGCATATTTATTGGAGAGCGATTTTAATATTGGGCATATTGTTGATCCTATAACTTATAACCAAGCATTGACAAGTTGTGATACAGATAATTGGATAGCTGCCATGGAAGATGAAATGAATTCCATGGAAAGGAATAAAGTTTGGGATCTTGTTGAACTTCCTCCAGATGCTAAGGCTGTAGATAACAAGTGGATTTTCAAAAGTAAATTAGATTCAAAAGGAAATGTTGAACGAAAGAAAGCAAGATTAGTTGCAAAAGGTTTCACTCAACGAGAGGGCATTGATTATGTTGAAACCTTCTCACCTGTTTCATCGAAAGATTCATTTAGAATTATCATGACTCTTGTGACACACTACAATTTGGAGTTTCATCAAATGGATGTTAAGACAGCATTTTTGGATGGAGACCTTTCTGAAATGGTTTATATGAAA